AATGACGATTAAAGATGGCCGATATTTTGGCTTTAAACGTATTTTACTTTAAAAAAAGGTTTTCTTATAAAACATTTTCTTATAGCGCAATGCACTATCTGACGAATTTAAAAAAAATTCTGTAATGCAAAAAAAAATTTATTTCGTAAAACCACATTTATAAATTTTTTAAAAATTTGGCATTACTGAATTTTTAAAAATTTGTCAGATAGTGTATTGTACTATAAGAAAATGTTTTCTGAAATAAAAAATGGGGGTAACCGACCTTTTTTAAAGTAAAATGCGTTCAAAGCCAAAATATCGGCCATCTTGAATCGTCATTGTTGCCATAGCAACAGTGGTGACGTCACTTTTCTGACCGATTTTCGACTCTTTGATTGTCGCTGTATATATAATATACAAATTTCGATTTGTAAAGAGCATCATCTCTTCAAAAAGGTGATCTAGTTTACGCATTTTCAACATTTCTATAAACTGTAGCGAGCCACCTTAAAACGTTTTGCGAAGTGTTTGTGGTTGAATTTTACCTTAAATTGAGGCTTATATTACGTATAATAACATACCTAACATATATATGTTGAGAAATTGATAATTTTGTAATTAAAAGTTTTGTTTTTAGGCGATTATTCATTTGTATGAATATTCTTAAAAAATTGTCGTGTTACCATGACAACTACTTTAGATACTTCATGTTCGGAAAACACAATGGTTTTGTCAGCAAGGCGAGGGTTTCTGCATGCATGTATTTTCTAGTTATATGCTACTATATGCAGCTAAATAATGTCTTCAACGCTTTTTTCGTGATTTATTTGCCAGTATTTAACGCATGGGTCCTTGGAAGAGTCGATCAATGTCATTGTCATTGGGCAGCTTTATATATACGTTACTATATACGTATTAACTATTACTGCAATTGTATCAAATTTTTTAGTACAAATAACTACATGTACGTTTTGACTAAACTTTATATTTTTATTCCCTTTGGGCTTTTGAATTTGTAATAAAATGTCATGACTCATGATCATGCAAATTAACTCTTGTTTATTAATTACATATTTGTTCGCTCTCGTCTTTACTCGTCCGATGCGTACGAGATTAATTATGCAATCCAATCAGATTTCAGCTTTTTTGACCAAGTGCATACCTGCATATTCTTTCCTTCTCGTGCTTCGGTTCAGGTTAACAAGTACGACGAAAACGTAGAGAAATCGCATCATCTAGACTCAGAAAGACAACAAATGTATTCTATTAACAAGTTCGATATATTTTTCACATATATTGTTATTAATATTTTTTTAATTATTTCGTTATTAAATATTATAACGGTTAAATATTCCGTATAAATATTCAAACTATATAGAAAATTCAGAGATTGGGCCGCCTGTGACTTGACATGGTCTTTAAATATACCAAGGTACAATTCGATCCAGATAAAATAAATAAAGTAATTAAATAATATTCAGATATCGTAACTTAAATCCAATAAACTAGGCTATTTGCGTCAATAAACTGTTCAAAAATGTCTTACATCTGTGGCGATATTACTTAGATACTAGTGCATCTAAGTTAGCTCGTGGTTAGCCTATATTTTTAAAGTGCGACTAACCACTAATATGATTTTTGGTATGTGTAATATTTGGGTCATTCGAAGAAGAAATGTAATATATCTTCATAATAAAAAATCTCATCTTGATCAACTTTTTCACTGTTAAAGTTTGTAGATATGATGTCATTAAGTGAATTGCAAATTAGTTTTCCTTTGTCTTTTGTACCAAAAATTCACCTAATGATATCATATCTGGAACTTTGACAGTGAAAAATTTGTTCAGGATGCAATGAGGTGTTTTGCTATAAAGATACATTGGGGGTTAGTCGCACTTTATCGCACGCTACCGATCCATGAAGTTTGTTCTGTACTTGTAGCTCTGGTGTACTCGAAATGAATATCTTAATCCATTCTGGTAATTCAGGAAAGTTCTCCAATATTAACTCCAAAAATTCACTCCTGGTATCAGTTTTACTCTCGTCCAAAGCATCCACAACGATCAACATTGGCTCACGTCTGCATAGGGCATGTAAGGGATCGTTTATAAGAACGCGGAATGCGTCTGATAGTGATTCTTGAGAATGTTGACGACGAAGAACTTCAATCAGTTTATCACGAAATCCAACAATGTTATCGCACATTTGACTGGCAAGAGACTGGAGAATTCTGTGAGGATTTCTTGAATCTGAATTTCTAAAGTCGCAGAAATGGTATCCGGCTAGTTTACCGCGTTTTTTGTACTGCACACAAATCTTCGCAGACAAAACACTCTTCCCAGCGCCAGGACCTGCAGTCAGAATCATCACCCGTGATTCTTTATCATCAAGCCAACTTGACAGCTCATCAAAGAACCATTCTTTAGTGCCATTTGGAAACTTTTGACAAAGGCGATCAATCTTTCCAGTAAAGTCAAACTTGGCTAGTTGGTCGACTTGCGAGGGAACCAAATTTTCAACTATCCTTCGTAACTCGAGTACTTGATTTCCCACATTGAGGACTACTTTTTCAATGTCATTTAGTTTTGACAAAAAATCGTCTTCTAGTTCTTTCCATTTTTTTAATTTTTCAATATAACTTTCTTCTTCAGGACTGAGAGGAGCTTCCTTTAATTCGTCTATATCTTGTTGAGGAATTCCTAACTTGATCAAAGGTTTTGAAATTTCTTGCCACAATGTTTCAAATGTGGTGTCGTCATATTGGGCAGCTGGTATATGACCATAGATCTCATTTCTGAAGATTTTGATTCTCGCAATATGTGCAGATATAGAGGTATCGCTGGCTGGAGGCATAGCATTCCATCCTGCTACTGGTGAGGGAAATCCACAAATATTTCGGAGTAAGATGGCCAGTAAAGTTATATCAAAATTGTTTGAATCTGGTGTACCCGAAACTGGAAAGAGTAAGTCCCATTGCGATGGTTTAATTACACTGTATCTTATCTTCTTCAATGTCGTTTTGTTGGCATTTAATACAGCAGCTAAAGTGGAAGGCGGATGTTTTGCATGTAAAGCACCTCTTAACGCGTCGCCTCCTTTGTCCACCAAAAGTTGACATACTCTCGAATAATTAGCTTTGGTTTTTACTGGATCCATCGTTGTCTTGATCAATTCTAAACAACAACAGGAAATGTTCATATGGTAACTAAGTTTCCAGCAACATTTTGTACACTGTAAATCTGGGAATGTTACCACAACACCGAAATCGGTGTAAATTCTTGCAGCTGTGTGAGGTGCGATTTAGTGTTTACTTACACTCATTTTGGTGTTAAAATACACCTTTTCAGTGTTAATTAGATGCAGCTGAGTGAACACCGATTTGGTGTAAAATAACACCTCTGAAGATCTTTGATTTTTACACTGTTTTGGTGTAAATAGCTTGCGGCTGTGTGGACACCGTTTTGGTGTCAATCTACACTACGAGCGCAAAATAACACATCAGAAGGGCTTTTTACACTTTTTTAGTGTAAATAGCTCGCAGCTGTGTGGACACCTATTTGGTGTAAATCTACACTACGGGCGTAAAATAACACCTCCGAAGATTAAAACAATTTAGTTTAAAGAAGTAACGGTCAAAACAAAACAAACATGGCGCCGCGCTACACAAAGTAAAAGTTGCCTTCGCGTGGAAAATCGCGACCATCAACCCTTGTAGAACCAAACACTATTTAATTGCTATTTAATTCCTATTTTATTGGGCTATTTAATTCCTATTTGTCAAAGTATTTATTTCCTATTTTTACTATTATTTTTTTTCGAGGTTTTTCCTATTTAAATTGGGGTAGAAAAGCTATTTTTTTCCTATCCAAGTGGAACCATATTTTTTTCCGATTCATGATATATTTCTAAACAAATACTTAATTGATGTACTCGAATAGAAATTAAATAGGTTTCAAATATGATAAAAATAGAACTATTTAAGGAAATTATTAAAAATATATAGTTTCGACATAGTTAATAAATATGTATGAAATAGTTAAAACATAGTGACAATATAGGTATAAAATATGTAATAAATAGTTGAAATGAGTTTCAACTAAGTTTAAAATAGTCAATAAATAGTTGAAAAAGACTCGCGTGTTCGCCAAACTTCGATGGGTCATATTTTTCGTTCTGCCTTTTTTCCTGTTTTGCCCCTCCCCCCCTCCCTAGTAAAAATTCCTTAAAAAAGGCACTGTGCTATTTATTAGCTATTTTAACAATAGCTCTAAAAATAAAAGTAAACATAGTGTAAAAATAGCTATTTAATAGCCATTTTGACCAAAATTCGCTACAACTTTCTATGAATAGGAATTAAATAGCTATTTAAGATCTACTTATTTTGCTATTTAATAACTATTCTAGGAATGGCTCTAAAAATTAAAAAATAAAAGAAAACATAGTTTAAAAATAGCTATTTAATAACTATTTGGAACAAAGTTCGCCA